CAGACCAGCCCATTCCCCAGAGTCCCACTCCCCGCAGTCATCAGCGTAATCCAGAAAATATTTAACAGCATGTTTCAAAGCCCCTCCAAAATTAAGAGGCTCCTCAGCTCCAGACTTCCCCTGGCCCACTCCAAATTCAATCTTCAAAAACAGCGGCTTATGCTCCTGCAGTGCCTCAGATCTCTCCATTTGTATTACTTGAGGTGCTACCGCAACCTCGTCCGTTATCTTCTGCACTTGTACTTGCCCAGTTAAAACAGGTTCCTGAGTTGGTCCCTGAATGATTTCTGTATCAGTATTCCCTGCAGCCGTCATCAAATCCATCTTTTCATTCATCAAATCCATCTTCTCATGCATCTGCTCCAACAGAGCACTTGTCTTGCAAAGAGCAAGCACCAAAGCTTCCTCCCAACACATTTTTTTCCAAGGTCAAAAAACTGGTCCCACGATCTTAATCTTACAGCTGTAGAGTCCCCAAACGGACTGCAGCAACAATTTAACAAGCTCCCTCTAGAGGAGACAATTTCTATTTGTATCTGTCTTTTTAAAGCAAGTCCAACAAAGGAAGGTTACTTTCATTTTTCAAATATTTTGTTTCTTTAAAATGCAAAAGGTAACATTGGAATCAGTTTGTTTCTCTTTTTTAGCTATCTGTCAAAATGTTCCATTCACAGTCAATGAACGTCTCCAACAATTTCTGTCTCTGACACCCCGTTCCCAGGTTTGAGACGGTGGAAACTTATCTTTCTTTACTCCCTCTCCTGCAGGCTTAAACAGTCAAATCCCCCCCCCCTTTTTCCTGCTTCCAAGGGGGTTTTAGTGGTTATAAATGAAGGAAATTTCGACCTTTATAAACGACTTTCCAGGCTAATAGCTTACAAGGTTTTGCTTCAGTCTATTTACAAAAAGCGGAAGGCGGACTTCCTGTTTTGAACCTTCCCGCTTCGATGCCAAATTAATTTGTTTCTTGATCCAATTTTCTGTTTCTACTCACGGGTACTTGTTTAGAGTCCAATTGTCCACAGGAAAAAGTCAGCGCTCTCCGGCAATGGCTGTGCGGCTTCACTCCGTGAAAGTAGCAATCAGTTCGCAGCACCGCGCTGCTCACCCCACTTCGCTCCAGAGCCCCAAAATGGGGTTCCCTGCGAGTAGGGGAGGCACTCCTGGTGCCCTGCCGAACCCCACGTTCCCAGGCTTCCTCCACCTGGGATTTCTAGTGGGTCCCCACCTTCGCCGCGGTGGGAAGACCCAGTTTCCACGGAGCCAGTTCCTCCATTCGCCGATGGCGCTAACCCGGAAGTCCCTCGTAGTCATTTCAAGAGATTTCCAAAGCATACAAAACAGTGACCCAGTTCCTTTGTCTTTAGAAAGGGGTACAGCTGATTATGTGGTGCTAGAAATCTCTGGATGACATCACCCTGTGGCTTCATATTATCCTTATTTATTATTATCAAAGAGATATTAAGAAGCATTAACAGTTGAAGATATTAAGAGTTGTAACCAGTGCTATTTTTCTAGAAAAAAGAGGTTCCAGAACTCACCATGAATGCCTCCCTTGTTCTCTTATAATGGCAATGGTACCCACCTGAGAGGTGCCTGAAATGACTTCCAGTGACTTTTGACTGAGAAAAAGCCCTGGTTGTAACTCTATAAAGCCACATACGAGAGTTCTAGCATGGAAAGCAGTAGCATAGTACCATATTTTTAATATTTTGTTGGAAGCCGCCCAGAGTGGCTGTGGAAACCACTTATTATTAAAATTATTATCACCACTTTCAAGTATCTTCCTGCCAGCAGAACCACAATGAGATTGCTAGAAGAAACTATGCTGATGGTATCAAAGATTGCTAGAAGAAACTATGCTGATGGTATCAACTATGCTGAGAGGACCAGGGGGGATGTATCTCCATCTTTGCCCAAGAGCAGGTTATCTATAATTATCATAATCATCATCTACCAGGCTGATCAAGAAAGTCTCCATCTGAAACCGGAGTAGGAAGCTGGATCCAGTGTAATGATATTGTGATCTTCACAATACTGCAGCTAACAGTTTTTGTGAGGTCATGAAAATCTCATATTGTTTGTTACATAGGGCGCCCATCATCATACTGAGGTGGGTCATACAATTGCAGCAGTACAGTTTTATGAAGGACAAAAGCATGAACACAGGAAGTTGAAAAGAAAACTGGAGAGTGATCACGGTAGTATTCAGATTTCTGTCTCTTACTAATTTTATTAAGAGAAAGGCGAAGAGTTTCATTACTCACATGCGTCTGTTTAAAAGGCATCACAGAGGAGCATTTTTAAGGAGCACAGTGTCGAACAGATCACTGCTGTACCTTGAGTGGAAATGGAGGGATGAGGGATGTCTTATTTCCATCAGTCACTTGCCTCTGAAGCCTTCTCTACAGAAATAAGATTAACATTTATTTCCAGTTCACTGGCATAGGAAGATAAATACTTTAGAAGGCACGTTTCTAGTCTAGTGCACAGATTTCTAGACCACCAGTCTTAACAGTCAAATATGAGCGGGCCCCTCAGTTCAATCATCTATTACTTCACAATAGCTAGAGACTTTGCCCAGACTTTTGCTTCACTGGGATGGAGTTGCTTCAGTCTACTGGTCTTGCCCTTAGTCCAAGAGGTATGTCTGGTCCAGGAGAAGATAAAACCATGACCACTCAGAAAGATATGCCTTCTGGAAAGTCAGACATAGACCTGAAGTCTTAGAGCTGATGGTGTCACATTCCCTTCTCTCATTCTTCTCCTGTTTTGATCCTGAGTAGGGGTTGTCCTGGGACGTGGGTGGCGCTGTAGGTTAAACCACAGAGCCTAGGACTTGCCAATCAGAAGGTCGGCGGTTCAAATCCCCGCGACGGGGTGAGCTCCCATTGTTCGGTCCTTGCTCCTGCCAACCTAGCAGTTCGAAAGCACGTCAAAGTGCAAGTAGATAAATAGGCACCGCTCTGGCGGGAAGGTAAACGGCATTTCCGTGCGCTGCTCTGGTTCGCCAGAAGCAGCTTAGTCATGCTGGCCACATGACCCAGAAGCTGTACGCCGGCTCCCTTGGCCAATAAAGCAAGATGACGGCCGCAACCCCAGAGTCGGTCACGACTGGACCTAATGGTCAGGGGTCCCTTTACCTTTAGGGGTTGTCCTGGGGTGCCCTGCTGACATTCATAGGAAAAGAGTTGCTCATTTCCCATTCACCATTAAGCAAAGAGTAGCGTGCCCATGTTCCTAAATCATAAATATAAGCAAAATTAACAGATGATTTAAAAGTTAGGCTGTGGAAACCAAGACACTGGGTCCTTTGGAGGAATGTTGCCTCCTGCCAAATACTGTCAGTAACAAACCTGCTGCACAAAAAGAAGGGTTCATGAGGATTTAAGGATGGCATGGGAAGTATCTTTTAGCTGTCTGGTGGGAAAATATGGCATACCATTCATGTTTTCAAGAGAGAAGCATAACTGCTTTCATGTAAAGTGATGGACAAGTAGTAAATACCTATTCCCAAGTCATGAAGGCATTCCAAAATGCCCTGAAATAATCGCTTGAAAAACATATTCTGTCATTGCTCAGACAAAAACAGTTGCTTGGATCCCAAATTACCATGAATTCCCCCTCTACTTTTCTCAAAGGATAGGAGAAAGAGTTGGTTTTTGCCAGTTCTCTCTCCCTCCCTTTCCATAGTCCTCCTTGATCCCTTAAAATCTGGGCTGCCAAAAAAAGACATTGAGGTTCTCATGAGCCCCTCAGGCTGCATGTTGAACCAAAGCAGTATTATATTTTGATATTCCCATTAACTCATTTCTTCTTTCACAATAATTTTATTACATAAAAACTGAATTCCAAATTTGGTACATGCTAATAAAGTTGCCCAGTCTAGTTACCAAGTAAGATATATTGTATTTTATTGCAGCTATTTATTGCAGGATGCTAGTACTTAGGTGAAATTGGGTTAGTGTGAAACTGATAATCTTAGGCTAAGATAATTACACCTATTTCATTGTCTTCCAACATTTGGTATCAAATATTTCAGTGCAGTAGGGAAAATGTGCTGGTGTTGTGACTATTTTCTGTTCTTTATAATTGTCCATGCAACAATTTACTTCACAATAGCAGGTGCCATCTGTAGTGAGAAAATTAGCTGTTATATTTTAAACAGGGGCACCTGCAGGAAATAATAATCAATGACAGCCTTCCTCAACCTGATGCTCACCTGCTATTTTTGATGATGATGATGATGATGATATATTTTCACCCTGCCCATCTGGCTGGGTTTCCACAGCCACTCTGGGTGGCTTCCAACAAAATATTAAAAATACAACAAAGCATCAGACATTCAAAACTTCCCTTAACAGGGCTGCCTGCAGATGCCTTCTAAAAGTCAGAAAGTTTTTTATTTTATTGACATCTGATGGGAGGGCGTTCCACAGGGCAGGTGCCACTATCGAGAAGGCCCTCTGCCTGGTTCCCTGCAACCTCACTTCTCGCAGTGAGGGAACTACCAGAAGGCCCTTGGAGCTGGGCCTCAGTGTCTGGGCTGAACGATGGGGGTGGATACGCTCCTTCAGGTATACTGGGCCGAGGCTGTTTAGGGCTTTAAAGGTCAACACCAACACTTTTAATTGTGCTCGGAAACGTACTGGGAGCCAATGTAAGGTCTTTCAAGACCGGCGTTATGTGGTCTCGGCAGCTGCTCCCAGTCACCTGTCTGGCTGCCGCATTCTGGATTAGTTGTAGTTTCCGGGTCACCTTCAAAGGCAGGCCCATGTAAAGCGCATTGCAGTAGTCCTAGTGGGAGATAACTAGAGCTTGCACCACTCTGGCAAGACAGTCCATTGGCAGGTAGAGTCTCAGCCTGTGTACCTGATGGAGCTGGTAGACAGCTGCCCTGGACACAGAATTGACCTGCGCCTCCATGGACTGCTGTGAGTCCAAAATGACTCCCAGGCTGTGCACCTTATTACAACTCCCATGAGCCCCATCCAGCATGGCCAGTGGACAGGGATGATGGAAGTTGCAGTCAAAATGTTTAGAGGTCACCATGTTGTGCAAGGCTGTTTCATTTGGATGAGTTATGCATACTAATGTTTTACTGCTGAAACTGATGAAAGGCCATACTTACTCTAAAGAAAGACACAAAGTCCAGTATGTAGAAGAAAGCCATGGGAGAAAATTCCAAAGTGGCAAGTGGAATATTGTAATACAAACATTCTGGCCTTGACGGTTTCCTACCTCTATCACTATTTCACAACACCATAATAATGACAATTTGTGTTTGATTTTTGGCAGGTTGAAAAGAATTGCTTCATACATTAACAGTCCGAAGATGGCAGAGTCATACTCCTTGTCTTTCCACACTATTGGTGGAGTCAGAAACCCCGCAGGTCAACTGGATACTGGATACGCCATGCAAAGAACAATTATGATAATAACTATTCCAATTTGTGCTTTAGGATTACTTGGCAATGGAATTGTCTTCTGGCTTCTTTGGAACAGGATTCAGAAAACTAACTTCACTGTGTATTTCCTGAATATGGCAGTTGCTGATCTTACTGTACTCTCCTACTATGTAACAGCTTTCGTTTTATTTTTGAAATCTGTTCCGATCAGCATATACCATTTACATATAGTAGAGTTGGTGCATTCATTTGGATTCAATGCCAGCACCTATCTGCTTACAGCTATCGCAGCTGAAAGATACCTCATGGTCTTTTTCCCAGTTTGGTATCAAGCTAGACGGCCAAAGTATCTCTCTGAAATTATGTGCACCGTTTTATGGGGTCTGTCCGGCCTGATGTCACTGGTGTTGTATTGTGCCTGCTATCTACAATTTGAGTCCACGGTCAACGAAAAGAACACAAGTTGTGAGCCTTCAAAAATGTTCAGAGTGATATTCAACCTCCTGGTTTGTCTTCCCATCATGGTCTTTTCCACTTTGATCCTTCTGATCAGAATGCTGAGGACAGAGCAAACGCCTCCGGCAAAGCTGGACATCACCATTGTGGCCACAGTTCTCCTCTTTATTCTGTTTGCTGCTTCCGTGAGGATCATTGATATCATGGCACGTTGGGTTCCAACCATACATGTACCAGTGCTCTTTTTAATCTTACATTTTCTTGATTCCATAGACAGCAGTGGAAACCCTTTTGTGTATCTTTTTGTTGGATATACAACAAAAGGAGAGGTTGGCGACAAGCCCATCCAGACATATCTTGAGAGAGCTTTCTTGGATGAAGGAACTGAGAGTGCTCCAATGAATACAGGAAAGGCTGTGACCTGGGCCTCAGACATAAGATAGAAAGGATTATATGTAGAGGTATATTGCAAAAATATTCTACACGTGGGAATACTAGCTCCAGAATAAATATATTACAGATACTTTAGATTCTTCCTTAATTCTAATAATTCTCTAGGCTCCTATTCCGATTCCTCACCTAGGAGTCTTCCTGGTCCTTAGCCATTTGTGCCTTGTCATGTGATAGAGAATAAGGAAAGTGAGGAAAGGACAGAGGAAAGTAGAGGTGTAAGAGTACATGAGCCTTGCTGGGGCATAAGTGAGTTGGTTGCTTCTCAAGGTGGTTCATCAACAAGCATCTGGAAGAAAGGAAGTGAATCTTGAATACAGAGGCAGACGGTCTCCAGATGACCCAGATAAGAGATCTGTACAGAGGTGTTAATGTAAAAGTGCAGCTTAAAGGTCAATAAAATATAAATTGAAAATAAGCTCCAGCTAGTAAGGATTGTTGGTGGGACAGTGGTTCTCAAACTTTTTCCTCTGGGCCACACTTCCAGAAAAAAAATTTGCTTTCAGCACACTGAATGTTTTATCAATAATAAATACTTTGGAAAACAAAAAGAAACAACTCCCAGCAGTAATACGATTTATAACATACTGTAGAACACAACTACTTTATAACATGATCATGAGGTATCCACATGGGGTACATGTGGATAAGAACATGAATCATTCATTGCCAAAATGTAATTTTAAACAAGCCCCTTACATATGTACGTTAAGTATGTATACAGACACAATGAGAGGTGTGGGTTTGCTTTTTCTAGGTAATCTGATTTATATTAGGTCTAGTTTGAAACAAACTCTCATCAACACAAATAAGCCTTTCTTTTTTGTGATCTTCCATATTTGTCAGAGTTGAAAAAACCCTGTTCACAACAATATGTTGTGGAGAACTGTATAAGAACAGCCAATGCTCTTGAAGAGAGGTGTGGATGCTATACTATACTACACTGGAATGTTTTAAATGCTTCTTTGCTCGTCCTTAATTTTCCTGCCACACTTGCTATCCTCTCCTGCCACACCCTCTGAGAACCACTGCTCTAGGGCAAGAATGAGTAGCCTGTAGCAGTGGCGTAGCGTGGGTTGTCAGCACCCGGGGCAAGGCAAGTAATTTGCGCCCCCTAACCCGTGGATTTGCGCCCCCTAACCTGTGGATTTGCCCTAACCCCAGATGTTGCGCCCGGTGCGGCCGGCCCCCCCTGCACCCCCCACGCTACGCCATTGGCCTGTAGCATTCCAGAAGTTGTTGGACTCCCAACTCCCATCAGCCCCAGTCAGCACAGCCAATGGTTAGGGATTATATAGGAGTTGTTACCCAACATCTGGAGGGCCATAGGTGCCACACTCCTACTCTAGAGAACATGTAAAATATATGTATTAAGAAAGCATATTTACCCCATTCTTACATTATCATTACAATTATTACCAAGTTAAACCTATTTTCTACTTCCTTTGAAATGTATTTAGTCTAAAAAAGACAATTCCTTTTGCAATGAGCTGATTTTTGAAGTGTTGCCCTTTGAAAGTACTTGCTTTAATCAGTAAGGAATGAAGAGTGGAGAAAGTTGTCTGACTTTTCAAAGAAGCAAATGTTGCTTCCCTGTGCTCTCAGTATATAATATCCCATATTCCTGCAAGACTGTCTATAAGTTATGTCCCTTTAAACCACTTTGTGGGAATGGGCTGGAGTGGTACTAATACAAAATTGGAGAACAAGTGGGAAATTCTGTTTATCTTGCATAAAGGCATAATTGCAAGAGTCTATAGCCTTTGTTTAAACTTGGATCAGAACCAGGATACATATATGAGACAATGGGCATGAGATTTGGATCAAAGAGTAACCAGGAAACAATAGAACTGGATTTGAAACAACTTCTATTCTAATATAATTACAGCAGAACTATTTTAAAAACCTTCTATCAATGAAGCCTCTGGTGCACAGACAGCATCTTTCCACTCACTGCTGAAACCCTCAATACTTTCCCTGGCTGCTTTAACCTTCTCCATGTTAGAAATGTAACAACAGGGGTCATTCAGTTTGTAATCTAAGGATTAATTCTGTTTTCAGTAGGCCAACTAGGCAAGAGGGAGGTGTTTGGAGGTGCTGCTTAGCAACCAGGTTGGGTGGCATGATGCTTATTGATGTACTGCATGCTCTAATTGATTGTGCATTTCTGATATAGTTTCCCCCCTGTATTTGAAGTTATATGTCTTCCTGTTATGAACAAAGTTTGAATTCAGAAGATGATGATGTCTCTGTTTATTTCTCCTTGTATTATATACTGTTTTCGTCAAGTTTCCCTCAGTAAAGTGTTATCAGTTTCTTTTCTCTTTGGACTCCGTCTTCATTATTACCTACCTGCATTTATTACCTTTTTATATATAATGGAAGCTGCCCAGAGTGGTTGGGGAAACCCAGTCAGATAGGTGGGGTATAAGTAAAAAATGAAATCCGGAAATCTGGTAGGAACTGTTTATCCCCCTGCAGAGAGCCATGTGTGTGTTTGAATTTTGTTTGTGTATTTTTTCCTTAACTTACCTCTTCTGAAATAAACTACAGCTTTTTAAAAAATCATAAAATGATTTTTAAACTGTTGAGGAAGAGAAATTACACTGACATAGAATACAGTGAAAAGCATGGGCCCCACAAATGAAATTCTGCTCCTGGGCCTCTGCAAGTCTTAAAAAAGCCATGTCTGAGGGTGATAAAATTGTGGATGTTACCACACTCCAGAAAACAGTTGATGTGAGGTCATAAGATTCTTACATTCCATTTATTACATAGGAACACATCACCACAGTGCTGTGGTTCATACTTTTGCAGTAGTAAGCTCCTGGGAAGAGTAAAACAGTGGCCCCCTAAGGTTGAAAAGACAACTGGAGGTTAACTATAATGGTAGCATTTATTTGTTTATTTTGAAGCTCATTATGTTATGCTTGTTGGTGTTTTAAAATGTTTTTAATGCTTTAACTATGCTTATATTTTATTTATCATTTTCATTAGTCACATCATTACATGTCTTTAACAAATGTCCTGGGAATTTGCTAGACTGAATTTGATTTTTCCCCCCTTCCTAAGAACCTTCAGTCATAACCATGGTGTTGAGTAGAGCATGCACCTTTTGTACTGTGGTGAGGCCTGGGTACAGTTGTGGCAGCGTCAGAGGAGAAAGCAATTGTAGAGATGGAATTGCATTTCCATCCAACACCTGCCCCTGACATCTTCTCTCCAGAAGATGCAATTGCGTTACATTACCTTGGAGTCAAACTCCCACAATCTGGAAACATAGTGGGAACTCCACAGATGAAACAGATGGCAAGAAAATTCGCTTCTGCTCAAACCCCAAAGAAGGATCCCCTCCAACCAGAAGCCCTTGTGCCACAAGAGCTGCTGGACAACCCTTGCAACCATATTTGCAGCCCCCTTCCTCAGATTCCAACAACTCCGTTTCAGAACTTGTGATAGAGTCAAGGTACTCCTAAAACTTCCAGAGCCAACATGTGAAAAATTACCCAGGCAAGGAGCTAAGCACTCTGTCTGGGCAGCCACTTTTATAAACCTTCAGTGAGTTCCAGATCTTTGCTGGATCAACAGATCAGCCTACTCTATTTGGATGACTGCGTCTAGTTGAAAATGTTGCCTTCTTTCTTGCCTTTTGTGGCGATCACACAGGGTCCCCGGACGTTTGACGGTCTATTGATCCCTGTCCACCACTGTGATTGCCTCTTCGCTGCCACCAACCCGTTAATGTTAACATTAACAAATAATCAAGTTTATTGTTTAGCATGAACAAGTTTAAGGTTTCAGTTAATTTTTCTTGTCAGTTTCTTAATCTTAGTTCCTTAAGAAGAAGAGTTTGGATTTGATATCCCGCTTTATCACTACCCTAAGGAGTCTCAAAGCGGCTAACAATCTCCTTTCCCTTCCTCCCCCACAACAAACACTCTGTGAGGTCAGTGAGGCTGAGAGACTTCAAAGAAGTGTGACTGGCCCAAGGTCACCCAGCAGCTGCATGTGGAGGAGCGGAGACACGAACCCGGTTCCCCAGATTACGAGACTACCGCTCTTAACCACTACACCACACTGGCTCTCAACTGTCCTATACGTTCCTAACAACTTCAAACTGATTATCCCAACTAACTATCTGACTCCACCTAACAGTTCCTCTCACTCCCTCACAACACAGCTCGACCAACCCACTGACTTATCCTCCCTCTTCCTTCACCAACTCCCAACTCTCAACTGACTTCCACACAACACAGACTCTAACTCTAACTCCTCCTATCAGTTTCTCTCTGGCCAATCACATCACACTCATTTAACTCTTTCCTTATGACCCACCTAGGAGGCAAACGCCACACCTGCTAGTCCTGTTTTAGAACTTTGCCTAGGAACCAGATAATTCCCTTGTATCCTACTTGTGTTTTTCTGACCCTACTAGTGGGGTTTTCACCACATTCAACTGGCTTCTTCATAATAGGCATGCACTTTGCCAAGTGACTCCCTGGGACGGAGTTTGCTTGATACAGGTCTTGCAGGTAGTTCAGAGGACAAGGACTGGTCTATACATGCAGCACTGTGAGATGATAAAGTCCTGAGATGGCACAACCGACTGCGACACAAAAGATTGCTGCGGAGGCGGTAGAAGTCAAGATATGGGGCCCTTAGCAGGAAAAGCCTATAACCAATTATAGCTGTCACTAGTAAACCCATCTTGGCTGCACAAATTGAAAGGTGTGTCAGAGCCCAAGGCTCTTAAGGCACTTTCAGGACTGGCTTGTTTGAAACCTGGTAACTCTCATTTCAGATGAAACAGAAAGCTGTGCTGAATTGGAGATGCCTGGGTTGGACTGCTGCACATTGTGAAGAGAGGAGGGAAAGAGCTGCATGAGCAAAAGGTGTGTGCACACCTAAGCTTATTAAGAGAGGAGTGATGGTCTGAACTGGGATATTTTGCACATTTAGATATCCTGAATTAACTTCATGAAACAGAAGTTTGGATCATGAAAGTTAGCCAAATGGCATCATGTACATGTGTGTGTGTGTGTGTGTGTGTGTGTGTGTGTGTAATTATGAGGAAATTGCATACCCTGTCACTCACTTCATTAAAAAAACCTGAGGGTGTGATTGTTCTAAAATGAGTTCGTTCTTGTGAATTGCTCAATATGTTTCCAGTGCAAGGTAGGCTGTATTTTCTTACCCACAACAGCTAGATGACAAAGCACTGGTACTTGATAGAAACTGAACCACCATAAAGCCTCATTGCTATGTAAAGCAATATTGACTATTTGAATGCTTTTCTGCATATGAGTATATTTGGTACAAAACATTTCCTTGCAGAAGGGTTGTATAGCTGAAACATATTCAAATTTGACTCAAAATAAAAAAAAATCCTTCCAGTAGCACCTTAGAGACCAACTAAGTTTGTTACTGGTATGAGCTTTCGTGTGCATGCACGCAAAAGTGCATACCAATAACAAACTTAGTTGGTCTCTAAGGTGCTACTGGAAGGATTTTTTAAATTTTGTTTCAACTACGGCAGACCAACACGGCTACCTACCTGTAACTCAAATTTGACTGTTTCCTATTCATCTTTTGCAGATGACTTCTGGAAAAATCCAGTACTGACTGTAATTTCTGTCTGTACTGAGAAAACAGGTGCAGAATCCTTCAAACATGTAGATCTGGGGTGCATTATCTTCTGGAGGTTGTGATATTTTAGGGGGAGTATCTGGATGGTTGATACCTGCTAGGGCTTACCATAGAAGCAGCGAAAGGCAACAGAAAATTGTGTAATGATAAAGCACCCCCGTGTCATCTAAATGAATGCAGAAAGCCCCTGTACCGAGGAAGCAGCCTAGGGAGGAAAATAAATTCCAGTTTAGCCTTTATTAACCAAAGCTTTGGAGAAGGAACTTGCAACCCACTCCAGTATTTTGCCATGAACACTCCATGCACAAAAGAAGCAGCTTTGAGAAGAAATTCCAAGGCACGCTCTGGTTCATGGGGTCACGGAGAGTTGAGCACGACTAAGACGACTGAACGATGAACCAAAGCTTATGGGACTGGAATATTGTCTGTCAAGTGATCTTCTTGGATGTTTTCTACCTCTATCACTACATCTTACTAATGACAAATTGTGTTTGATTTATAGCAAGTGAAGAATTGGTGGACACATTAAGGCCATGGCAGATGCAATTGCTTTGTCTTCCCACACTGCTACAATCAATACAATTTATGCACAACTGGAGAACTGGGCAAAGAAGCAATATTTCTTGGAAACAATTATCATTTTATCTATTCCAACTTGCATCTGGGGATTAATTGGGAACGGAGTTGACTTCTGGCTTCTTTGCTTCAGGATCAAGAGGACTAGGTTCTCAGTTTATATTCTCAATTTGACAGCTGCTGATCTTATTGTAAACATCTACTACATTATGGTTTTTATCACATTTTTGGCACAAATTTATGTCAATCTCTACTTTTCACGTGTAATGGAGATTATATATTTATTTGGATACAATACCAGCATATACTTGGTATCAGCTCTCACTGCTGAAAGGTACCTCACCGTCTTCTTCCCAGTCTGGTATCAACGTCACAGGCTAAAGTACCTCTCCATCATTGTGTGTGCCGTGTTGTGGCTCTTGTCCTGCCTGGTGTCACTGGTGGCCTATATTTCCTGCTATCCAAGGTTCCTTTCATCTCACAACGAAGAGAGAGCAGATTGTACAGCTGCAACTATAATTGAAATTACAATAACTTTTCTGGTTTTCCAACCCATCATGCTTTTTTCTACCGCAGCTCTTTGTGTCAAAATGCAAAGAGAAGCCAAGCAAAGCGCTCCAGCAAGACTTGATATCACCATCACCATCTTAGCTGTTGTATTTCTTATCTTTTCTTTTACAGTTAGAACTGTTGATGCCATCGCATATTGGCACCAAACACTAGATGCACCAGTCCCATTTCTACTTTCTCTGTTGTTTGATTCCATCAAGAGCAGCATCAACCCTTTCATATATCTTGCTGTTGGATGTTGGAAGAGAGGGAAGCCCATCCATATGTTTCTTGAGAGAGCTTTGAGTGACAAAGCAGAGAGAACTCAAGTAGACCAAGAGGAGATTGAGAAGCATCCAGAGCCTCAAATGTGAACTGAAAAGGCTTCTAAGTCAAAGAATATAGACTGGCATTTCTGGTTCCTGAATAAATATATTATGACTTGTTTATTTTACTGTTTGTTACTTGTAGGCTACAATACTCACCTAGGGACCAGGGAAAAGTCATCTGCAGATGGGGTAACAGGGCCCTCAAATCACCAAAGAGGTGTATCTTTGCAGGATTAAGCTTCTACGAAATGCAGAAGTATGATCAAACAAGGTGGAAAAGAAAACTGGAGAGTAACCCTGGTGATACTGACAACTTTGTTTTGCTAAATAAATACTAGGCCTGTAATCCTCACTCAACATACCTGGAAGTAAGCCCCATTGAATTCAATAGGACTGACTTCTGAATAGACACAGTTGGGTCTGAGCAGTAACCATGCCTTTTAGATAGGCATTGTGTCTATCTAAAAGGTATCGAAATGCCACAGTCCAGTTAGGGAATGGAGTTAAATAGTGAGCCTTGAACAACAGCTTTGCTCTGTGTGCCAAGTTGACCAGGCTTAAGATATGCGGTCAGTGCCGGATTTACATATAAGCTAAACAAGTTATAGCTTAGGGTCCCACTCTCTTGGGGTCCCCCCAAAAAAATTAAAGGGGGAAAAAACTGGATGTACATTTCATTCACACACACACACACACACACACACATAAATATATATATATCACAAATAAAATAAAACCTACATACAGCAACAGTGTTTTGTGTTGTGTAGGCTCCTATGACGTAAGTTACTTTAATAAAATACATATTTTGTTATGTGCAAATGGCTTTAGATGCCTATCAGGTCCATAAATTACCATATAGCATATATTCAACACAAAAAACAGTGACAATTTGTTGTTGACAAAGGACAGCTGGACATATAAAGGTCCCCATTCCCTTCAGTAGCTTAGGGCCTCATCAAACCTAAATCTGGCCCTGTATGCAATTCAGGAACCCTTCTTTCCAAGAATACTAGGATGAACCACCAGACCACAACCGGGGGTATATCATTGCAAGGGAATATAAGGAGCAGACAAAAATGAAGGTTAAAATAGTGAATATATTACCCTACCTAGGTTGAGGGGAAGTTTGGTTTGGTGGAGTTCCCCCTCAGTGAAGAGGCAGAGGGAGGAGAGTAGCTGAGGGATTTATCACCTACTTCCGACAGTGTGGGATATGTATGGCACTGGGTCTCAGCTTACTATTCTGTAGCCCAATCCCTCAGCTGTATATTGTGGAATGGGTTTTAATAGATAGGAACGAATATATTAATTGTAATTTACCCCTCCAGGCGCCCACATGTGTGGGTTGAACAAAGTCCCATTCTTAGCAGCAAAATTGAAGCTGGCTCCCCCTTTTCATTTACCTCACTTAACAAAGAAATCAGACAACAGATGGTGGAAGCAAGCTTAAAATAGGGTTTACTTATTGGTAGTCTTGAATTGGTTCTCAGCTACAGCAGCAGTAAAAACTATGCAGGTTAAATACTTATATTTACAGGAGAAAGTCTCAGGCATGTGCTTGATCTGGAGCAAGTGAACATATGTCATCCTGCCTGGCTGGTCAAAGAAATTGGGCAGCATTGAGAGAGGGCCTTTCAACCCTCTGGCAGCTATGTTATGGGCTGGTGCAGGGGACTATTTTCTCTTCAGTGCTATATAATATCTATATGAAGCTGTTGGGGATGGTCATGAGGAGTTTTAGGGCAAGGTGCCATCAGTCTGCTGATGACACTCAGCTCTATTTCTCCATAACATCTGAATCAGGAGGTGCCGTGCAATCCCTGAGCCATTTGGCTGGGCACACTGGTGAAATGGATGAGAAAAACAAGCGGAGCTTGCATCCTGGCAAGATGGAGACACTGTGGGTGAGGAGTTCCCATGTCTCAAAAACTGGTCAACTGCCTACCCTGGATGGGGTTGCACTCCTCCTGAAGGAGCTGCTTCTGGATCCAGCTGTCACTGGAGGCTCAGGTAGTCTCTGTGGCTAGAAGTACCTTTGACCAGCTGTGACTGGTTTGACAGCTATTACTGGACCAGGAAAGCCTTGCCACAGTAGTTCTTGAATTGGTTACTTCAAGACTGGATTACTGCAATGTGCTGTATGTGGGTCTTCCCGTGTGCTTGATTTGGAACCTGCAGCTAGTGCAGAATGCTGCAGCACGATTGCTGACAGGAAAGGGCCTTGTCAGCATATAACACTTGTGCTCAGAGATCTAACCTGTTTGCCGATTTGATACCAGTCCAGGTTACTGTTGGTATAAGTTGGTAAAGGGACCCCTTATCATTAGGTCCAGTCGTGGATGACTCTGGGTTGCGGCGCTCATCTCGCTTTACTGGCCGAGGGAGCCGGCGTACAGCTTCCGGGTCATGTGGCCAGCATGACTAAGCCGCTTCTGGCGAACCAAAGCAGCGCACGGAAACGTCGTTTACCTTCCCACCGGAGCGGTACCTATTTATCTACTTGCACTTTGCTGTGCTTTCGAACTGCTAGGTGGGCAGGAGCTGGGACCAAGCAACGGGAGCTCACCCCGTCACGGGGATTCGAACCGCCGACCTTCTGATCAGCAAGCCCTAGGCTCTGTGGTTTAACCCACAGCGCCACCCATGTCCTATATATACATATACATAGCCCTTAATAATTTAATAATTTGGGATCAGTTTACCTACAAGATCGCTTTTTCTTACATGTGCCACTTGATAGCTTTGATCGGTGGAATTGGTACCACTACAGGGGCCACATAATACCCTTCGTGCATTGGAATGAACTTGGTCATTTAGCATGGCAGGGCAGAAAGAGAACTGAGATAATAAATCAAGTCACACTACCCTATCTCTCCAGGTACAGGTCATATACCAGAGTAATCAAAGCAGTCTCTTTCCTTGATCTGAAGCCAGATTTAAATAGGTACAGAGAAGTATGTGAGTTTAATCATATTGTGGCTGACAGTCACTATGAGGTCATGAAATTCTTGTATTCAGTTGTTACACAAGCAACACTTCATAATAGTGGCACTTGGTCACATCTTTGCAGAATTCTATTACTGTGAGAGGAAGATGTATGAGAAAAGAAGGTTGAAACGAAAATTGGAGTGCAACTATGTTAGTATTGACTTTTCTGCTTTGCAGCTGCTTACGTCAGTGTGATTCTCAACATCTATATCCATGTTAGTCTCATCAAGTCTGCTTAACAGGCTTTATAGGAACTTGCCAGAGATAATTTGGGTTACCTCTACTTGCTTCTCCCAACCACATCCATTCAGTGATAAAATTGTGAAGCAGATCACTGCATAAAAGTATATGGCCACCCTTCATATTTTGTGATGGTTGCAAAGGAATGAAAAGGGGAAGAGGAGAGAAAAGGCAGAAATTCAGACAGCCACTTGCCTGTGAATATTTTTCTCCCCCTCCCCCAATATGGCAAAGGGTTAGTCATAAGAGGCTGTTGCAGCAAAAATAATAAAGAGTCTTGTGCTGCCTTAAAAACTAACAGGTTTATCATAGCAGAAACTCTCATGGTCTAGAGTTGACTTCATCAAAACTAAATTATGCCACAATATAAATCTTTAAGGCGCAACAAGACTCTTTGTTTTACTCTTTCCAAAAGCATTGACTTCTTATTCTCATTTGCTTGAGTATTACTCAGCCCAAGTCTGGCAAAGGGAGCAAAGAAATTCAGAAGGAAAGCCTCCTCTTGACCTACAGGTCCCTAGACATCTATGCCCACCAGCCAGTTACTGGTAAGATCCTTATCCCATTCACTTAATTCCCTCCAGTTGCCAAAAATGGTGGGAGTAGAATCTAATAACAAGAACATCCTTGCCTGACAGGTGATCATTTGAAGTTTTCCTATGGCTATTACAAAATCTAGGTACCTTAATAGTAACTGTAAGTTATGTTTGATTTTGACAGGTTGAAAGGAATAATAGCTTATATTGATAATGTGATACCAGAAGAAAGCATATCGTCTTCCAGCTTTGCTGGTGTAACCAAGAAACCCTACAGACTTTCCAAGGAGCTTGGAACAATTTTTATTGCAACTATTCCAGTCAGCATCTTTGCATTCATAGCGAATGTAATTGTCTTTTGGCTTTTCTGCTACAAGATCAAACACACTAACTTAACCCCCTATTTTTTAAATCTTACTATTGCAAATCTTCTGACAAGCTTCTGCGGTGCTGAAGTTGCTTTTTTATATTCTATAAATGAACGTCTAGTTTCTCCAATTCAACGTCTAATCCAGATGCTCTATATATGTGCCTTTGACACCAATTTATACATCTTTACAGCTCTCACTGTTGAAAGGTACATCACTGTCTATTTCCCAGTCTGGTGGCAACATCACCGGCCTGAGTATTTCTCAACCATACTGTGTGTGATTTTATGGATGTTGTCTTGCAATCTGTCACTTCTGTACTTTTTTTTCTGCTTCCCAAAATTCTTCATAACCGCTAAGGAATTTGAATCTCAATGTGGAACTTCAACTATAATATCCTTAATAACTGAGGTGGTTCTTGTCCCATCCAGCATGTTGTTTTTCTCTTTGGCCATTTGGATCAGAACCCTAAGATCACAGCAAAAGCCTCGAGAAAGACTTGACATTACCATTGTGGCCATAGCAACAGTGATTCTTATCTTCAATGTCCCAACCAGGGCTACATTTACTTTTTCATTTTGGAAACTCTCAGTAGATTTGACTGCATTGAAAATCATTACTGTGTTACTGGATTCAATCTGCTGCAGTGCCATTGCTATTGTGTACCTTATTGTTGGATGCTGGAAGAGGTGGGAAGCCTTAAAGTCCTTCCATATGTTACTTGAGGGAGCACTGGAGGATACAGAAAACATGCCAGAGTCAACCAAAACAGATGAGGTGCAAGCCTGAAAATATCTCTGGCATCAGAAGCCAACCCCCCCCAACCCCCGCATCAGATGATTATAGAAAAACATGGACATTCTTTCACAGTTCCAGAATAAATTTATTACGAATGCTTTGATGTTGTGTTCATTATTTCTAATGCACCCATCTAGGCCCTATACTAGGGCAATCTCCAGTCCGGATGGCTTCTTATGCAGAGCCAGTTGGTGGGCTGAGAGTCAAAATCAGAGGGCGGAGGTGACTGAGCCACCAAACACCGAGTTTGACATTTCTCAGTGTG